GCCCGCGGCGGGTGGCCCTTGTGCAGCAGGAACCAGAAGCGCTGGAAGAGCCGCTCGTCATCCTGGAAGCGCCGGAGCAGCCGGTCCCAGTCGGCTGGGAAGGCACTGGGCAGCCCATAGGTCTCTCTCGCGCGGTATAGGCGCTGCCAGCGTGGCGCGGCCCCTGGTGCATTGGCCTCGGTCAGGTTCAGGATGAAGGTCTCATGGTCCAGCACTGCGTGGGAGCTGCCGGGGTAGGAGCCATCCACCACGTATACGCGGTAGCCTGTAGGTACGGATGCGGGCATGGTCAAATGTAAAGGTCAGGGTCAAATGTCGTGGGTATGGTCAAGGTCATGGCCAATAGGCATGATGGTCAAAGTAATGGCAATTGTCAAAGTAAAGGTCCTGGCAATGGCCAAAGACCAGTGGCCATGGAAGTAGTCATGGCCAACGGTCACAGTCAAATGTCAAGGTAATGGTCAAGGTCAAGGCAATGGTAATGGCTAATTGTTATGGTCATGGCCAATGGGCATGATGGTCAAGGTAATGGCCATTGTAAAGGTAATGGCCATTGTAAAGGTAATGGTCATAGCAAAGGTAATGGCAATGGTCATGGCCAATGATCGTGGTCAAGGTCATGGCCATAATCAAGGTAATGATCATAGCCAATGGCCATGGTAACAGCCAGGGTCATGGTCAACATCAAGGAATGTCCATGGTCATGCGGTGGCACCATGGGGGTGTGCTGAGGGTTCTGCACCCACCGGGGTTGAGGTTGATGTAGGTGGTGACACTCGGGGCTATGAAGGCGATGGAGACGGGCCGGGTCAGTGTCTCCTCGTCGTAGAACATCTCGAACTCATCCACGTGCGTGTGGCCAAAGAACTGCCCTGTGATGGTGCCCTCGAACCTGCGCCGGGACACGCCAGGACATGTATGACACACAGGGACCCCACCGCAGTGCCCAGCCCCACAGTGCACCCCCCTGACCCCAGCAGGGGCCCCGCTCCCACCTGCTCACGATGCGGTAGTAATTCCAGCTCCAGCTCCGCAGGCAATGGCCTGGGGGGATGTGCCCGATGATGTGCACCTATGGCAAGGAAAGCGGAGTCAGGGGATGCTGGGATCTGCTGAGGGGCAGGGACACCCTCCTGGTGCCCATCCCCATCCCAACCTT